ACTGCTCGCTTTCAAACTGTTGAGTTTTTTAATCAAAAATCCATTAAAATTTTACAAAATAGACAATAAAACAAATTCAGGTTTCCAGGTGTCCAAATCCGGGCGGATCTGTATGCTATTCAAAATTTGATGACTCTAGCTACCATTGTTTCCTCACAATGCAAGAAACATAATACATTCATGTAGTTACTTCATTATTTAGTTTCTTTAATCATAATACAGGGCGATAATATTTGGTGGCAACAATTTCAAAACTGCTTCGACGCGAAATGTCGTTTCGAGACTACTGGACTAACGTCCATTTGAGCTAATAAAATAATACAACTAGGTAACAATATTAATTGTACTACCACGGAAAAGATAAAGTGACAATGATAAAGCAACACACGTCATACAAGTGGGCAAGATTCTATCATAAGCAGACAAATTTGAAAATTCGGCTCGAATATGTTCACCTAGTTACAGAACACTGTTAAGTACGCAGCGTCGAGCACAGATCGAACATTAAATTTTAAATTCAGAAAACATGCTTCTGAGCTGAATGTATGTTCCGTGCACTTTCTGTTCATATGCATGGTAAGGTATCAAAATGGTATAAATTGTTTAAAGATTGTATTAAACCTGGTCCTCTAATACCTATCTCATATTTGAAAATAATTGCTGAATTCAGAATATGTTTTCAAGAAGATCAATTCTTAACAGAGATGCCTGTGATAAATACGTCTTGTGTTGGTAGAAAAACAGATCGTCAAATATTGGAGGAAATCTTGGGTCTGGAAACAAAAGTTTACAGATTGTGCTACATTTTGTCTGAAGAAGAGTAATAATAATAGTGTATAGTGTTCAGGATGCCGAAAGTCAATCAAACCTGGCAAAAAAGTTCTAATTTCTTAACATCGATTGCTGATGAAGATGAAATATAGTATTTGCACAAAAAATGAATGTCATAGTTCTTAGGTTAATTATGAACATTTGAAAAAGTAATAATGACTTTTCAGTACATTTATGATGAATTATGATGAATTTCAGTAAGCAATGATGTTACTTCTATAAAGGACTCTTTAGTTTTTGCATTTCTGTGTTTTGCAAAATCCAGTCTGCTGATAAAGGTCAACATTCCTTGAAGGTGAAGTAGTTCATTTTAGAATTCTAATACTTCATACTGAAGAATCCAGTTGTATTTAATAGTAAATTTTGCCCCAAAAATCAACAAATTTATATACTATATTCTAAAATAATCTTTTACATTATTGTGCGGTGACTACAGCATTAAGAATCGCTTCAAGATTTTCAATTACATGGAAAAATTACATTATCAAATCAAAACACTTTTAAGTAATTGCAAAGACGAGTTCTTGCGTGTGAGAAAGCTTCTGTTTTAGTAAATTCCAAGCAGTAGTAAAATTATTATCCAACACTGGAAGTGACTGTATAATCTTTTTCGCTTCTCCATTTTAATGAAAATTTCAAATATTGCAAATTTTATGCTTCTGAATTTTTTTATTATTTAATTATTATTATTTTAACGCATCAAAAAGACAGTTAATCATTTTTCTAGGCCACGGCCAAATGGGAGAAGTGATTTTGACAATTGTATCTGTACGGTCTGCACTTTCAACCCACAGCTAATGTTTTATATAACATAACTATAAATTGTTTAAAATATCCTAAATACCCTCATTTCTACAATATATGATTATTCCTTACAGTTAGAAGCATTTTCATTAAACACATTTGTCTCAAAATTTCTAGTACATTTTTGGCATTTCTAATGTTATTTTGTAAAAGTCATAAACTGGATTTTTCCAGATCTTCCCTATTAAAAAAAAATCTTCATTTTAATATAGTAGGCAAGCCTACTTAAAGCAACAAATTCAGCAGATACGAAGGCACAGATTGAAGTAAAACTGAAACCTGTACGTATTCGTAGATATAAAATCGGGTCATGCTAACTGAGATACTTGACCAGATTCAAGTGAAAGTGGGCGGAATGCCAGAAATGCACGTATAGTTCGCCGCACTAACTGTACAATTCTACCACAATTTTGAGGAAGAACACATCATAGGACAGCCCGATGGCCTCCCATTCCTCTTCCTTTATCTCTCGTCGCTAGAGAGAACTTTAAGGTTGCTGTGTACTTTGAGTGCTCCCTTGCCGCACAGGTACTATACGCTTAACAGCATAGATGCCTTCTCCAGAATTCGAATACGGTCCGAATGGTACGGCAATAAGCGTTGCTAATTGCTGTACCGGCTCGGCGGTCAGATACCTGGCACAGTATTTTTATTTACGACGATTAAATAGCATATTTACGATGAACAGCTGGCTACTGGTTCACTGTCGAAGCCTCACAGCTGGCGCAAACATTCACGTGTTTAATTCCAGCTCCACGGAGCAAATGCAAGATATTATTTCTTATGGACTGTATTAAGGTTAACTGGCTGCTTGCTATCTTGATTGAAGAGAGCACTCCAAAGGTGCAGTTTAATTTTTTCATTTAGCATTTTAAACATGAACTGTAAATTTACTAATGAACATTAATTATAAAAGGCATACTCAAGACAACCATTAAGTAATTAAATAAAAATTCTTGTGAAGCATACTTCGGTACAGGCAGTGTAAGGGGCACTTATAAGGAGTACCCTAAAGTATTAGGAAGATACTCTCGAGAGATTTGTTGGCGCAGAAAACTGGGTAGGAAATCCTCGAATACTTTCTTATGGATGTTTGTTATCAAATTAGAACGGATATTTTTATTTGTCTCAGACGTAATTCGGTCGCCCTCCTGTAGTCATCGCGGACAACATTAGCTGTAATGAGATGGTTAAATAAATGTTCGACTGTTATTCGCTTTTCCCTACGAATTCATTAAATTGCAAGTGTCTGGCAGCTTAGAACAACAATAAAAATAATAGGTTTAGGATCCGTTGAGGAATTAAAAATCCTAAATATTTTGGAAAACTAAAGATGTAGAATTATTTGCTCTTCTGGTTACTTTCCATCTGAAAATTCATAAATCATAAAACTGCTTTTTAATGATTTGAATTAGGTGAAAAAACGTATAACACTATTTTAGTTGTTAAATAATGCAATAATGAATGTTTAGCAACATACAAATATTTTATTATTATTTGGTAAATAAATACAAGTGCTTTACATGTGTACTATAATATATTTGTTCGAAATAATAGATTTGTTGTTTTATCACGTAATTACTAAGCAGTCATAAAAATCCTTCTAATTAGCATTTATTTCGGCTTTTTCTATTAGCTACAGCGATATTCAGGTTTGTTTACATTATGCAGAGTTTCTTAAATTATTAGCAGGGTTATCTTCTAGCATTTACTTCGGCTTCCATTCTATGCCACACTTCATCACGGTATTAGCTGGAAACGGGTGGTGGGCTAGTCTCACAGCAATCCATGACCATTTCAATGGGTGACAGCTCTGGTGACCCTGCAGGTCAGGGCAGCAATCGAATACCCTGAGTATCGAAGAAAGTCAGAACACGATATACAACATTATCTTGTTGAAACATGTCGTTTGTGGGCTTGCAGGATAAGGCACAGCCAATGGACGAAAGATGTCAGAAATGTACCGATCAGCGTTCAAATTACCATCTATCCGAACACTAGAGATGTGTGTGTCGTGTAACCAATAGCTGCCCAAACCATCAAACCAGGTGCAAGGCCCCTATGTCGATATCGAATGTAAGCAGGCGACTTGCGGTCTCCTCGGACACTCCATACACGTATACGGCCATCAGAATACTGCACGTAGAACCCGGGACTCGTTTGAAAAGGCAACATTGTGCCACTCCTGTACCCAGCTTTGTCGTTTGGCGCACCAGAGCCGCCATCTCTCTCTATGCTGCATTGCGAAGTAATGGTCATTCTGCTGATAGTGCACGCTGCTGGAAACGTCGACACATCTTACGAGCTCATACTGAGCATGCTCCAAACATGCCCATTTCCTGACTAATGGTCCGTGATGTGGTCGTACGGTTTTTCAAGCCAGACCTCACATTATATCTGTCATCTCTGGCGTGAGTAATGAGAGGACGTTGAGATTCTGCATGCCGTTCAGTATGACTCTCAGCAATCCACTTATTCCATGTTCACATGACAGTGGTTGGATGTCGACCAGTGCGATCGCCGATATCACGGAACGATAATCTACACTTTCGATAGGCAACGATCTTGCCTCTATCGAATTTTGAAACTTGCTCGTAAGCATTTCCTCTTCTTATCCTAGTCATAACACGATATTCTGAGCAAACTCCAACCTTACAGAGCACTTTTCGAATGAGAAATCCACTACACAACTTTTCTTATGCAGTGCTTCAGATGTGCTTTCTCCCTCCTGCGTCATTTTAAATGCGCTGAAATACTAATCATTTTCGTATCTTATCTTTTTTTTTCCTTTCACGTGATTTTTGACGTTCGTCAGATTATTCCTTCCCGGTGTTGCAATTTTAATGGCAGCCATGTATATCTAACGTAAATTGAGAAAGTTACTATTTAGAAGTTACTATTTAGAGTTTATTATTGAATTACTACTTAGAACAGCAAATTCTTAAAAAATAATTTAGATAATTTTAATAACTAAAGACCATGATATTTTAAACGAAATATTATTTCTTGTTTATAGTATGATTAACTTTATTTTTTTTTAATTTACATTATTTTTACAATCTAAGCTGCTTTATCTTTTGATTTTTGTTTCGAAAGTTCTAATTATCATGCAATTCTAATTTTTATTATTGTATATATATTGCGTATATAAGTAATAAGTAAGTATCACTATTTCCATCTTCGCTGAATGCAATTTCCCTTCCTCAAGCACATAATTTTATCAGGAAGTTTACAAAGACCAACAGATTAAAAATAGGTAATGTTTTTAAAGGGCATTCGGCTAAGAACGTATGCCTGAAATAAACAGAGCAAAAGAAACCGTCATTTCTTTTCCTTTACTTATCTTAAATATTTTTCCTTTATAGTCATTGAGATGGTGTATGGGAACAAGAAACAGTGTACGACATTTGTTCAAACTTTGCCATTATGAGCGGAAACCTAAAGGCATATAGAGCTTAATGCAGTCAAGACAACGGCTTTTATGCGCTCAATAAACTTTCTGCTTCCAGAATTAAGAAAGGAATGTCTGGAGAATTCAGAAAGTAGATTCTTTTTTCCAAGTATGTATGTGATCCGAAGTATAAAACATCTGGAAAATCTAAAAACATCGACTTTAAAGACACGTTTAAGCTTTTCTATCTGTGGAAAGAAAGTCATAAAAACTTTTGAGATTTTGAAATAGGATTTTTAAAGCAATATGTGTTGAATATAATGTGAAAAAAATTTAATATAAAATTATATTACATTTTGTTCCTTAGCATGTGTATAACATCTTCGATAATTCAAAAATAAAGCGATTTATTTTATACATTCGTTACTCTTTCTGAGGTAGAATAGAAAGAGAGGTGTCTCATAAAATATGGTTAATTATATAATTGTCTTACTATTGTGAATATATTTACCATTGTGTACTGTGATGATGTATATTTTAATGAATATTTTATTGAATAGGTACTGAATATTTTGATGAATATTTTACAGCCTTTTATATTTTTGTGAAGTACACAATTATAAAATTTTGGGCTTACACTGTAGGATCGGTGCAACTATCAAGAGTATACTTAGATCAATAAAGACGTTTACTTAAGTATTCATATATCAAACTGACATATATCAGATAAAAATCTTTATTATAAGTTATTTTAAACGTTATTCATGTGTAAAATTTACATATAGTTATCTCATAAATTCGGTTAGCTAAATCATTTATTAACTTGTTACAAGTAAAATTTATCAGATATCCTCCTATGTGCTCAATCATTATTTGTCAAATTTATTCTATCTTTTTCTCTCGGTAGTATTTTTTTATTATGGATGAATTTGGAAATATATTATTAATTTCCCTCGCAATTTAGATTCGTAAATCTGAAGTGAAATTTTAAATCAAAATTTTGTTTTCCGTTAATAAAATTTAATATTATAAGCAAGGCAATAAAATCTTTAAATAGTTTTTAAATAACTAATTATTAAAAGAAATATGCAAGAAATATGCAGTATATTATTTCAAAATTGAAACAATTAACTGTTAAAGTTATCAGGTTCAATGTTTCTTCTTACCTTCTTCGGAAACATACAATGACCTGACTAGAACAGAGAGCTTACTAAAGCTATGTTCACTAATTGTAGTAAGTAGACAGGATACGACGAAGGGTATACAAAACCCTTATTTTTTCTTTATATACAATGACTTCCGTACTTCGGAATACAATGACCCTCCACTCGGGTGTCTAACTTAAAAAAGATATCAAAATAAAACTAAACTCTAATTTAACTTTAGAATAAGATTGGCCTTATAATAACAGGAAAGCGTATGTAGCCACAGAGTGTGAACACTACAATACGTTTTTAATTTATCAAGAGGATTAAAACCTCTGGCCTGGAAGGCAAAGTAGCAACTGCGTAACTTCTAAGGTAAGCGGCCTGCTTCGAATCACGGCTTCCCTCTCCTCTGCTTGGCAAAAAGGCCATACTTAAATACTTGGCGTTCGCCAGACAACTTTGCATAAACTCCTTCACGCTTTAAATTCTGGCCGGAGGAAGTAGAATAAGAAGTGATAGTAAGATTTAAAATAAAAAAACGTTAGTAAAACTTAAGATCCTTACATACTTTCCCGCCAGAGTTAATTATTTGAAACTGAGGTCTAAAACGACCTTGTTGAAAACTTTTAGCTCTAGCAAAACTAACGCGAGAGCCAAACTTTTACAAACATAACTTAGCTAGAAACTAGAAATTTTAAAAGAAAGAAATTGTTACAATAGCAGCTCCCGGAATATACAACAATCTTTTTCTTTTTCATCTGTACTGCAATCAAACAGGAGCTTTATTCAATTCTGGTTTCCTTCCAGAGATCTGGAAGGAAAACTAGTTTAATGAAATGTTTACAGAATGACATTGCAAAATAATATAGATATACTTTTCTTAACATTCTTATTTCATTCATGACTATTTTAATTATCTCTCCCCGTGCTCTCTGACATGTGGTGTAAAAAACACCAAACACGAATGTGTTTCTGTCTATGTGTTCAACACTTCCTCCTACAATCAAAACACTAACGTGTTAAAATTCAACATACGAGACCTCTTAACACACCCTAATTTCAACTCTAGACCCTGAGGTACTATTCTGAAAGTGGCTAACTCTAAAGTGTAGCGTCAGAGAGCCGCCTAATACATCATCAACCTTTAACCACATATTCACCAGATTTAATCTTTACAGTCACACGAATAACAAATTTTTTAACATTACTTTCACTTTTTACCATATCACGGTATTCTAAACATTCAAATAACAGTTCACATGTATACAAGAACATATCAAGATCCGTTAATTTACACATTTGAAAACATACATTAGTAGTACATTGGAACTTCTATTCTTTCAAAGCAAGTGCCAATTCTTTCTACATTGATAATACTACATTTCAAAAGTCTTTCAGACTAAAACTTCTTTCTTGAAATGTTTTAAATAAAATTTTACAATAACTTTTACAATATAGTATAAAGTCTACCAACGCATTACTCAACTTAGTTTTACGACGCGCGAGTAATTGAAAAACATAAATAAGAAAATCGGTCATAATCATTTCTCGCCTTTTTGGCAAAAGTAGACCCTCGCATGAGGTAAAACTTGAAATCGCCACTTGCAGTAAGAATAAAGATTAACTTAGTTGTAAAGTAACATAAAAATTTACTTATCTTTGTATATTCAGACATCCTTTTCTGGGCCCGTCTTTAAAGGTGAGCCAGATAGTTGCTTGGTTGTACGGGCGCCTTCAGTGCTTCCTCTGGAAGCTTCGTTTTTCACCATTCGGCAACCTTGAACACCTTTTTCTGCCTCTGCTTGTGGTCTTGCCGTTTGATGCAGCTGGTCTTGTGGAACCGGGAAACTTCTGTCGTGATCCTGCTTGGACCTCGTTGTTGGCCGTTCAAATTTTTCTTGTACTTTTTCCTCCGCCGCTGATGGCCCTTCCGCAGTTCGGCGACTTTTGCTGCGGAGAGTTCTGTCGGATGAGTTATCTTCCGTTTACAGCCGGTTATAGTTGCCGTCCTTTTCCTGGTCTTTCCGTACGTCGTCACCCTTCTTCTTCTGGGGGCCTTCGTGAACTCTGTTTCTGGACGGGAACGGCTTCTTTTTTGTTACCTTCAATTTTTCCCGGGCAATTTTCTTTTCACTTGCTTCTGTCCTATTGCTTGCCTTGTAACTTGTTTTTTTCCCACCTCTGAACTTTACCGAACTTGTTTTGGTGTCTGTCTGCCGTGCCGGATCCTGCCAAAAGATCTGAAAATTTGCATTTTATTACGATCATAGTAGGGTTTCATTGATCAATTTGCGGAACAGGTTTCACCATTTCTTGCCTTTAACACTACAACAGCGTGAGTTATTTTTTAACATATGGCCTTCAAATCGTGGAAAAATTTGGCAGTTTTATCTTCTGGTGCTGAAGAAAGTGAATGCTTAATTTTTAAAACTTCATCCCCTTTATAAGTTACCCCCGTCTTTCAAATCATAATAGTTTTCTGTTTTTCTCTGTGTACTTCATATTCTTCTTTGCTTCCTTTATTTTTTTATATATTCACCCATTTTAAATTCTGGGGCTCTTTGTTGCACCATAAAAATTTATCTAACGCGTTATAATCTTTCTGCCTAGAAATAACTCAGCAGGAGTTTTTTCCCGTTGTATCATGTTTTGCGGTCCTAAGGGCGAAAGCAAATTCATTGACATAGTTATCCCAGCTTTTATGAAAAATTTTTAACATAACTACGGATAATTTTCACTATATTTCTGTTGACCCGTTCCGCTATATTTGATTGCGGCCGATACGGGAACCATTTTTAAATGACGTATGCCCAGTTTTTGGCACATGTCTTCAAATATATTACTTACAAATTGAGGACCATTATCCGATAAACTTTTTAGGGGCGCCCGTTCGTATTTTAAAATATATTTATTTAAAATAGAATCGTAACTAATTTCGCGGAGGCTCGTTTTAAGGGAACAATTTCGGTCCATTTACTAAAATGATCAACCATAACAAGGAAGATAGCGACTTTATTTAACTACTTTTTGGGAAAGGGCCCCAATAAATCGATGCCGATTATTTCATTTGGAAATTCGGATTTAATACTATTTAGAAACCCGGCCGGGGCGGAAATTAATTAATTAACGGCTTGACATGTTGGGCAGGACTGGACATACGCCCTTGTTAACTTTGCAGTTCAGGAAAGTAGACTGCCTCGCGTACGCGTTGGATAGTTTTTTCGAATACCAGCATGAGAAGCTAAAGGGCTTGTCATGGAGCTCCTTGCAGGATATTTAATCTAAGACTAGCTGGGATAACAGGTCGAAATTCGTTGTTGAATTCGTAGTTTTTGTATAAAATAATAGACCATCTATTAGTTCGTAATGGGCCGCCCTATTTCTTATCGCCACAATATCTTGGTGGCTAAAATTTTTCAGGATCCTTAAATACTCATAAATACTTCCAAACTCAGGATCCTTACCCAGTTCGGTTATTACAGTTCTCGGGAATTTATTGTACACGCTGTCAGCATTTTTTACGGTATTACCTTCTTCATCTATTTTTATTCTGGATCGGGCATCCTGCTACGATATTTTCCTTTCCGGGATTGTGTGCTTGATTACGAAATTATACCCCTTGTAACTTGAGTGCCCATCTTATTAACCTTGGAGATAAATTTTTTCCTGAGTATATGCATTGATGATACTTCTAGTTACTGCCGCATGATCAGAATACACTCTTACTGGCGCACTTTCCAAAATAGACTCAGAACTTTTGCACTGCTAACAGAACTACAAGTGCCTCTCTCTCAGTAGCGGAATAATTTATTTAAAATTTCTTTTGTGAGTTTCATTTAAAGTTCTACTAAAAAATGCCACGGGCTGCTGATTTTGCGAAAGTACCGCCTAACCGCATACCGAACCCCGCGAAGCATCCGCTGAAATTTCTAAATTTCATCCTTTTCAGGAAATTTCAACACAGGGGCTTGCGTTAATGCTTGTTTTAATTTTTCGAAAGCACTATTGGCTTCGGCCGTCCACGAGAATCTTGCCTTTTTCCTTTTTAATTTAACAATGGCTCAGCGATAGCCGCAAAATTCTTTATAAAGGACCTATAATAGAACAAAGTCCTAGAAAAGAAGAGAGCTCTTTGCCGTGTTTGGAGTCGGATACTTTGTACAGCGATTATTTTTGATTCATCTTCTCGATCCCTTTTTGCGATTTTGTAACCTAAATATTTTAATTCAGGGGCTGCAAATTT